AAACATTTGGGGGTAATAAATAAAACAGAAATGCCAGCCAATAGTTCAGGGAGAGGATTAGACGCGGATGGTATTTAGCGGGCAAAATTAATAATGCCTCACGCTGAAGGGAAACTAACACGCCTAAAGTACCAGTTTTACGCACAACCACACCGATTTTTATATAAAAAAGCGGATTGCGGATTAAATTAATAGAACGGTGAGTGATGGGTAAATATTTGAAACATCAAAAGGAAGACAAATGTTCTTTTCGCAAAAAGCAAACTTAAATGATGACTGAATTTCATAATTGATAAATCTCAAATCAATATGAACATATTCGTAAAAAAAAAATAGCACCACTCGACATCCCAGGAGTAGGACCATCTGCGTATAGCGTTTACTAAACGGTATACCCCCCGTTGGTTTGGTGCGTAAAACCCTTTAATTTCACTTTTTTTTTTCTTCTTGCTTTAGGGTTATTGCTGCAGTGAACCCAGGAAGAGGCACGATGACTCAACGTACGAAAAACAAAGAGCTTTGCTTGACACCCAAGGTTACAGCACTGATAAAAGCACCTCATGATTATAACTTTTATACATTTAAAACATGAAGACACATGTGCCACCCGACGTCCTACCTGCTTAGATTGTTAGCGTTTTGTTTTCTTTCAATAAACGTTTTATTACTTAATTTCAATTCATCTGAGAAGAAAACATTCTTTCGCAGAAAGTATATGATTGATATGGTATAACGCAAAATTAGGATGGACAAAAACAGGAAACGGGACACAGCACAGCCTGAGGGAAGCGTGCACTGCAGGGCAAACTGAAAAGCGAGCCTGCGCCGTGTCTCGGCTCCCCTGTTACTTGTCCCTCGTTTGGTATACTCTGCCACTGCTAAGCGAAATTAAATTCTTACAACAATTTTTCCTTATACGTGGTTGCCATTTTAGCTTAGTAACCGGCACAGTAAAGAACAGTTATTCTTAAATTTGGCAGATTTTATATTTGACGCTGGAACAAGGCGTCGGCAGACGATAACCCTTCTGCTAACATGTTAATGCTAATATTACTACGCGACATTTGTGTACATAGGCATCTAGGTGGTAAAACTTACATAGTAGCAAAGGTATTGATATACGTCTAATCACCTTTGCTACAATGCATGCTTCACTAGCTTTTTATGTCTAGTTGCGAAGTCGCGTGGCAATGTATCAGCAGTGACGTATATATTTCGCCTATGCCCTGTTCCATCTTAGAATACTGCATCTGATAATTGTAAAAAATGAATGAAAGCACAAAATTTTATACAATAAATGCAAACAATAGAAAACGTAAAATTACGTAAATAAAACAAAGAGTATCTGTTCTTGCGCTTTCACAGTAATTGCTTTCACGAAACTTGTAATTTAGCAGAAATCATCTCCCATCGTATCTTTCTGTACCTGATTTAGCGTAACTCTTTATTCTACATAAATTGTCCATGCTGGGATTTTTCTGTGACTGCTTGCACACAACTTGTGATTTTACATAAATTTTCTGCTAGTGGAAAACAGAAAAAAGTATGTGAAATAACAGAAAAAAATTTAAAAACCGCAGAGGTTTACTGAAATTTTCTGGCGAAACAGCTGTCAGACAATTTCTGTTTTTTTACACAACTTTTTTTTTTACAGTGTAGACCTATTGCTAAACTGCAAAAGCATCGAGAAGAATGCGGGGAATGTAGGTGTACGCGTCGCACGCTCTTAGCTTCCCCGTATAGAAATATTTGAAGTAGATAACCAAAATAAGGTGTTGTCGAACGCGCGTGGAAGATGCCATTTGTTTTAGGCTTTCACTTTAGAACAGTTACTGCTGCATACGCCGGCACGTGAGGCACGTTGGCCGACCTTCCCAGCGTTCTCCTTGATGCTTGGGTAATTTAGTGATAGGTCAATTACATGGTCGCGTTTGTACTGGCAGAAAGAAATAGGCCTATAATATAAATCTTTACCCCCCGTTCTTTCCCGTACCGAACATGGCAGAATGCACTCCTCAAAAAGTAAAATGTCCTACCCGTTCGGGAATGACGCCAACGACCCTGAGTAACATGACACTTGAGGTGGTACCGTATGTGCACAAAATGTCGCACAGCCTCAAGAGGGTGGCCGACCGCTTGGAGCAACGCACGTTTTTTCAGCTCCGAGCAAACTCGGCCAACTCTGCTCTCGCATTATCGGTGGCGTCGGTATAATTGCACCTCAAAGCATGTCAGGCCGTATGCTGAATGCGTCACGGGGGCGGTATATGAAATCCCCCTTGCGTGTGGAAAGTGCTACGTAGGACAAACGGGAAGATGTTCAAAGGACCGACGAAGGGAGCATGCGCAAAAATTAAAAGACGCATGATGTGGCACATTTGCAATTTGCTAAACACTGCAGAAAATATAACTGATCCGCGACTTTCTGAGACAACGATTCTGGGTAAGCGAAAGTGCCAGAAAGCGCTTGCGGTAATAAAGCACACTTTATCAGGAAAAGGGGTGCCCAATGAGTAAGCGATACATCTACTAGATAACAGAAAGTATAAAACAGAGAGAGGACGAAACACACTATCCGTTTTATACTTTCTGTTATCTAGTACATCATACCAACACGCTCGTGAGGAATGGGATACATCTATGCACCGTATAATGCGGGGATAAGATTTTTTTGAAGTTTTTGTGAATGGATGATAAGGCGCGTAACACCCGGCCAAGCGCATACGTGGACGTGAGGAATGTATTTCTTTTGTTTCTTTTCTGCACCTTTCCAATATAGTTGTGAGTGGCGCCTGTGTGTGTGTCTTCTTCCTCGTGTCCGTTGTGTTTTGCACCTTAAACCCTGCTTCATAACGTTTATTAAGATGTCGGTGACAATGGTACGTTCGCGGCAATATGAGCTGCAACAATATTTCGTGATTCTTTAGCAGCCTTTGATGAAGCTTCGGTCCAAACTATGGCGGGAATGCGAAATAGACGTCCCATTCTTTCAACTCTTTACAAACCAAAAGATGATGCAACTCTTCAGCGAAAGTTGAATTTATACGTAATTTCTTTCTACGGACTAGTTTCTGCGGGAGCGGCCCCTCTCGACGACCGGCGTTACCCTTACTGTGACCGATCGGTCACGGTAAGGGAAGCTTACACTGCGCTACGCTCACATGGGCTCGTTGGATAAATCTAAAGTCACTGGATCCTGGGAAAGTAGCGCCGTTGCCTTTCATACCTGCTGGCCCGACACAAACAGATACTAACATACAGACGACCAAAACCTCGCAAGGCGATTGGCTAACCTGTCTACGTTGCCATGGGAATCGCCATCTCGGTCCGTTCAAATCTTCGAAGCTTCCAGGGGGTCGTTCTAAACCAGTCGCGCCAAGATCGAAGCACATCGTACTCTAAGTGTTTCTCGCCAATATAAGCGTCTTTGGCACTGTGTATGCCATCGACTTATCAATCATGCCCATCTCCACGGATCTCTTATAAATATATTATTATTCTTGCGTATTTCAATACAGTAAACTTAGTTTTCAGTGCCTCCAAGCACCGACACAGCATGTGGTGGTGGTACGAAGATGTACACTTGTTTCGCCGGTGTGTGGATAACGAAATCTCGGTATACAAGAAACGTCTCCATAAAGCTACCCGTCACCAGCGAATTTAGATCGGTTCACCAAGAACGGAGGGGTCAAGGAGAAATTGCTCATTTCACGGACCAAGATGGCGACCACACGGGGAGCTTGGCGCTACTTTCCCAGGGTACAGTGACTTTAGATAAATCGTGCGAGCAGAAGCGCACGCGGAACTTGAAAGAGTTTTGACTTCTCTGCGGTATAAATCCAATTTTACAGCACGTGAATAATAGAAGAAGACATTCACAGCAAAATCCGAAAATACGTGTACCTCACGTCATTACTTTTCGAAATTCATTTAAAGAGAAGCAAAACAAAAAGAAAACAAAACAAAAAAATACGGAAAAGCCAGTGTGGTTCGTAACCCGGTGCCCAAATTTATTCCAGCATCATGACGATTACTTTGTTGAGTATTTTCGAACTCACTCACTGTTTCTGCAGTTTAGATACTCAAGGTTAACGAAAAATAACGCATAATTGAATCATTCAGATATTAGGCCAATACCCCTCTTTGGGTAAGCGCCAAACAACGCTTGAAAAAAACAATGGCAAGAATAAAAACAAGAGAGGGTCCAATCGGGTGTTACAATTTATGATGACCGGTGTAGAGCTCCAAGCTGTAGAACTCGAGCTCACCGGCTGTATAACTCCAACAGAAGCGACGGCGTTCGTACGGGGAGGAAGCCAACGAGTCGGGTGGTCTTTAATTGCACGACGACCGGAAAGCAACTACACCGTCATTTTTCAGAACATCGCCCGTCCCAGTCTCACTGCGCCTATCGCTACGGTGCCGCGCGCCTCACCCCGGACACGCGGCTCGGAGATAAGATTCACCGGAAATTAACGAGCGCGCGAGAAGTCAGTTGGTTTGGGCGCGACCGCACGCTGGGCTCCGGATCCGCACAGTTCGTCCTCGCCCTCTTTTTCCGACGCGACGCCGGCGGCGAAAGGGGCATCAATAGAAGCCCGATTCAGGTGACGCGTCACGGCGACGTCAGCGACGAGCGAACGGAGCGTGCGTGCAGCTCGAACAACTCCACCTGGAAGACAGGACGCGCGCGTTTTCACCCCCAAACGCGTTGTCACTGATGATGATGATGATGATACTAGTGTATACACGCAGCGCCATCTAGCCCGCGTCTGCGTCGACGCCAGCGCGTCTCGCCGCACTTTTCACAACGAACGCGACGCTAGCTAGCTCGCGGCGACGGCGGCGACGCCCGACACACGCGTCTGCCGTTCTGCGTTCGTGCTCTCGCAAAGCTTCGACGCGTTTGCCGCTTGGGGCGGGTCGGAGATCAACCAACGATGACGTCATAAGCGGTCCGCATTTCTTTTTCTTTTGGATGGTGTTAGTTCGAAGCGTGGAGCGCGGCCCCGGGTCCGAGGCGTTGGGAAGCGAAACGAGCAGAGGCTCGGATCGAGCCGGCCGTGTGGCTCGGGGTTCGGTGCTCTCTCTCGCGTCGCTTTTTGCGGCCGCTGCGAACATCCACGCGCCGTGACCGTACTCAAAGTAATCTACGACTCTCGGGTCGCATCATCGATCTGTGACCTTTCGTCGGGAGGTGAGCAGTGCGTGCTTATCGAGACTTTGAAATGCCGTGCCTGCGCGACAAAGCAACTTCCTGTCCCCACGGCCTGCCGCCGATCCGCCGTCACCGCCGTCTTGTGACTTCACCACCGTCGTCGTCGTCGTCTGCTACTGCCGCCGTCGTCTGTCCCGAGGGCCCGTGAGGATTACTTTGAAAAGTGGCTCGTCAGTTTCCCCACTTGAGGACGCTTTTCCCTTTATTCCCGTGACCGGTCTTAACGTTAGCTGTGCGGTGTCATCGTGTATCAAATCCCGGTGTTTGTTTTATTCGCGCGTCGTCCGGCGCTGTTGTGTCATCGTGAGACGTCGTGTTGTCAACTCCCAAAAACGTGGACAATGGATGGTCCGGAGTGGCGTGCTTGGTTTCCGGACGGTCCGACGGGAGGCCGGAGTGTGGTGCTCGACCGCGATGCGCCTTCCGAAGACGGCTAAAGAGGCCGTGAGGGCCGAAGCCAGGATGTTGAAGCGGGTGCACTCGCACATGAAGGTCCGCAAACCGGCCCTACTGCAAGTGGGAGCACTGTCTCAGGTAAGGAGATCCCGTGTTTTCAACACGCAACGGCGAAGCGCCTCAAATACGCTGATCATTAAGGTGACGTCGGTTTATGCTTAAACGAGTCTACAGAAAACGATGATCATCCTGAAGTGCTACACTATTTTCACCTATTGTATAGCTTGATTAGCGTTACTAAACAATGCATATATTTGTTCTTTAGATCCATAGAACCCAGGAAGGCAGTGAAATATTTTGCTGAACTGAATCCCGCGTCGCACGAGGCGCATGTAAAATATTCTCGCGCACGTGCTTGCCCAACTACGCTATTATGTCCGTGTCTTCGATAAACATGCACACACTTTGTGGGATTACTTATATAATTCGCGGTACCAATACGTTCACACGGAAGACATGCCTATCTATGTTATGAACACTTGAAAACGACAACATGCTACGAGTTTTAAAGCTGCTAGCATAGCTGAAATATCGTGTAGAGAACGTGTAGGTACGCGTACGGTAGTGAACAAGTTGAAAACGGCCACCAGTGTCTTGTTGCTATTTCTATTGAAAGCGAGAAGTATATATATATATATATATATATATATATATATATATATATATATATATATATATATATATATATATATATATATATATATATATATGATGTCGGTATCATTAAAAGGTTTCCAACCTCCGACTCCCACCGCTCTATTTGTATTGCTGTTTGGGTGACCTGGAGGGTGGTTTTGGGGCACACAACCTTGTTCACTGTAGTCACTCAACGATTCCCAGAGTGCAGCAATATCAAGACACCTTGGAGGACACATTACTTCCATGACAAGCCATGAGCGGCTGGAGGAATGCCTCCGCCTGTTCATCCAAGCAGGCGATGAGTGGCCACACAGGGAGGTCAATAACAACCAAGCGCGCCCGAAAAAGATGTTCTTGAACATGAGAACGTGATAAAAAGCGATAACCAGAAACATCGCGATTTTGTTCTCTTTGGAGAAACAGCGCTAGATTCGGTGCTGCACGCTGCTTTTCACGAACATCGTACTAAAATGTTTACACCCTTAAGGGTGCAAAAACGGTGTTCTAGATACTCACATGGTTGGTTACACCTTTTCGGCACTTTTACTTTGAGTCATATGCCTTTTTAAGTAGTAAAATAGGGTGCTGTTGCGTGGAACACCCTTCATCCTTGACAAGTTAAAAAAATCGCGTGGATGAAAAGAGTTGCTGCGGAAGGGGGTGTAAGCGCCCGTTTCAAACGGCTTTAGGGAAGGTTGTTTTATGGATGATGTCGAATGATTAGTGCGCATACCAATGCCTTTGAATTTCAGATACATTCCTTGAACTTCGTAAGAGTACGCTTTACGTGAAATACTAACGAGAACGAAGCAACTAGTGACCCTGACAATTGTGGTGGCGATCCCCTGCGAATGAGAGTGTTTCAATATTCGAGTATGTGAGATGGTGGAGCAGCTAATAGAATTATGATTCGAGTCTGATACAGTACGTAGTACAAGTAATTGAATTACTTGTAATAAGTTACATTCTAGTGCGAGTTTGTAATAATTTATTTTATTTACAGGGGGGGGGGGGGCGGCAGCAATTAACGCACAAGGTTCAAACATTTGCTCGATTACTTATTCAAACAAACAAATACTGCACCGTTGTTGAGGATGCTCACACTTTGGTAGAAAATACCACTATGATCTTCTTTACAAAGGAAGAGTTTTAAAAACTGTTCATTTTGTTGTTGAGGATGCTTACACTTTGCTTACATTCAAGAACCTTTCTAGAATTATCTCACCTTTCGGAAACGTACGTTGGATCCAAAGGATACACTTTTTGTATCCATACCAGTCGTGTTATAATAAATTCAATAAAAAAGAACATTTTAATATTTGCTTTTAGATGTTCAATGGCTCAAAACTCAGCGTGGCTTTAACCTCCGACATACTGGCATATAGATAATAGTTACAGTGCTGTCAATTCGTGCTGCTTGATTTTGAAGTTTTTCTAATCTGTCGATCAGATACTGCTGGCAGTGATTCCATATAACGCACGCATATCGACCTCACGTGTAAGATGCAGCGTTTTTCAAATTTCTACGACTGCAGAATAGCCTTTTGGCAGCCCTGGTTACGGTATAATAGATATGCTTATTCCATTTAGGAAATTGAATATAAACGCCGATATATTTAGATTCAGAGGGATTTCTGATTAGTGCGGTTTTAGCATCATAAGTATGAGGAAAGTTCGATGTGTTCTTTTGTAACATTACCGAGGTACATTCCGATGTTTATACTCATACTCCATTGATCACACCAACGTGCTATCTTATTCAGTGTTGTGGAATGGTCACCCTCATTCCATTCCAATTCCATTCCGGCAAATTAGAGTTTCCGACAATCCCATTCCTTTCAACTCTGCGGAATGGAGACACTGGGCCCATTCCCCACTGCTGGAATGGCTCAACTTCACCAGTCCTTCATCAAATTCCTAAACGTGAAAAAATGGCAATTAACAGCCACACTGTGTTACTGAAAAAAAAAAAAAAAACAGCATTTAGCTGCTAACGTTGTCAAACGCGCAGATGAGTGCAAAAGTATGCAAAAGCATCTCCAAAACCTTCATTTTGCTAAGCCGAAGGGTGGTAACACAAAGCGCTTCGTGACAACCTCTAGTCACTGCAGACATCGATCGCGCGATCAAGCGTAAAAGGCTTGCGAGTCCCAACAGACGCCCCATTTTTTCCAACGGACCGTGTATGCCCTCCACAGATACATTCTTAGCGTGTTGTTTGCTTCATAAGGCCTTAAAAATGTCTAGTTTGTGCGTGGCGCAAGAAGAAGTTTTCTTGCTCTCTGCTTCGAATAATTGCATAACAGCCCCGTAAGTGCGCTGTTTGAAGCGACGCCGCGTATAACTTCCTCGAATCTCCACACACTGCGGCAAGAACAGAAAACCATCCTTTGAAATGCAATTGGTATCCGGCGCCAGCACAAGGGACTGTTCCACCATACTATTGACCCTGCCTTAAACCGTAAACATTTACGTTCGCTGTACATTCAATTCAATTTTTCTTTGTGTTCCATGCAAACACTAGAAAACTGACGGGGTAAAAGCAGGGAGTCGAATCGGTCATTATTCCGTTTCGGTTCGAGTTCGGATTGCTTTGCATTTCCTTCCGCCGTTCGGTTCTGGTTCAGGGACGCTCTTGAAATAACGGTGCGATCACCAGTTCCATGAAGCGCGAACCAGTGCAAAGTGGTGCTTAAAAGAAAGGTCCACAGTTCCCAGTCGTTAAGAAGAAAGGGTGAGTTTAACAAGGCGTCATCTCCATTAAAATAAATTAGGTAACCAGAAGTCGTGCTGCGGAAACAAGGACAGTATAAAATAAATGTCTAATTTCGGTTTGTGGTCTTGAATTCTCAGCGCAAACATCGTTTTAGGAAGATTACGTGGTTATACAGGCACTTGGAAGCAGCACCAAAGTTGAGTACTGACACGTGAAGTCAATCAGACAGCACGCATAGTGATACCGTGACGGTGGCACCCATGGTACTCGCAAGCTACCCACAAAACAAATTAGTCGTTAGTTGTTTAGAAAGGAGTTTAGTCTGCCAGAGTACACACTAAACATTTTCACGCCCTTATTGGTGTAAATGGCATGGGTCACAACTCACCCCCTTATTGGTGTACAAAAACGCCCTAGACAAATGGTGTTATTTCTCACACCCTCAAAAACCGGTGTAATCCCTTACACCCTACACAGAAAGGAGTGATTCTGCTCTACACCTATTCATTAGGGTGTGATGGCAGCAGTACACCCTACCAAAAACGTGTACTGCAGCTAGAAGAGCATGGTGGGTAAACCCCGAGACTAGTGACAAACAAAATTGGGAAAACACAATACTGCCTCAAAATGTCTTGAGACGTGTTGTGTTGTCCCGATTTTTTGTCCTAGTCTTGGGTTTTTTTCACCATGATCCTTCACCAGCTCGCCTGCGCAGTAACTCTCACTTCATTCAGCTACAAGAAGTTATACTAAATGTGTAACACAGCACTTCATCAAAAAGTATTTACGGAGAAATGATTGCTAACAAATTGAAACATGTGGAACACTTTATTTTTTGAATCCAGAAAAAACGTGCATGGACCTCATCTTCTTCTTTCGCGAATTCGCGAGAAACCCATGTCAAACCTCAAATGCTGGCATTTGCCCTAGTGTTAAGTTTTTGTGACAAAGCTACAAAATTCTTAGAGGCTTAAAATAAATGCACTCAAACTTTAAATAAGGCTTCCCTTCGCCTAAACCTACTTTAAAGCTTTCTAGCTCTGCTGACGTAGGCAAAACTCGACAGGCTGGCAGAGACGGAACGACCGGGAGTTGATTGAGGCGTAAGCAGCAGTTCATGCTTGTAAACAGTAAAATGGTCTATTGAGACGGAAGCAGGACTACTACCAGAAGCATGCTTGCAGAGTACTTACAAATCAAACACCGATCTCATGTAATCCGTGATAGTTGCATAATCCGGTTCGGGCACCACAGAAAAATTCGCAAACACAACGTCCAGGATGAAGGCGGTTGCTCACATTCAACGGAACTCTCGCCGTCGCCGATGAGCAGCTCTCTGTCGTGATAGATGCACAATCCGACTCGGGCAGCACAAAACTACGCAAACACAATGTCGACGATGAAGGCGGTCGATCACAATCAGCGGAAGTCTCACGAGCGCCGACGAGCAGTTAGTATTTTGTCGAAACGCGTCCAACAAACACAGCGCAATAATTCTATGGACTCCGACGAAATTCACAAATATTACCAAAAAATTAGTATGAACGTATTCCGGCCGTTCAAGACGAAAAACCACGGCTGCGACTGCAACGCACGAAAAACAGAAGAACACTGACGCCTGACGGAAGCTATTTAGAAACCGGACCTACGTGGCCCCTACACTCACCGTAATTTGGAATACGGCAAAGACTTCGGCCCCAGTGAGCCCATCAGCGCGTCGGAG